TAATATTTTTACTTAATACTTAAAAGAAATCAATCATGTTTCATTTTAGAGCTACATATTCATAATAAGTCATGATAAATCGTTTCGTTGTATCTTGAAGAGCAAATAATGAACCCTACATTATACTTACCAATTGTTGAAGTTTTCTTAAATTGTTAAAATAGGAATAAATGTTGTCAAATTGTCGATAATTTTTTTATTTTTATTTTATCTATTTTCAATCTCGATTCTTAAAACTAGCGCATATTTAAACGAAAAAATCATCCACGAATGCATACATTACTATATTCCATTACTGAACCGAGTGATATATTATGTAAGCAATCCATATATATATATATATATATATATATTCAAATCATACATACTAGGATTTCACTCGAATCAAACTTAATTCAAATATCAATTTATTTACATCTTAATATCTATATTTGAAATAGCAACAAAAATTAACCAACATAAAAACCAACAATAAACTGATTAATTTAAATCAATTGATCTCTCTCTCTCTCTCTATCTGTGTGTGTGTGTGTGTGTGTGTGTGTGTATGCTCACGGTCGTAAATGTAAATATGTTTTATATTTGAAAAATAAATAATATTTATTGCTAGATTGAATAAAAATTCTATTCATACATTTATTACTTTACTTATAGAATAAATAAATACTTTATACGATAATATACAATATTTTATTTCAAGTTTTGCCTTTTCATATTAAAATTCTATAGTTTCATCAATCAATGATACTTTTCAAATTCAAATTAATAACTTAATAAAATAGTACTTGCAAATCTGCTTTTCTGGATATACGGTGTTCATTAATCATTAAAATAGTTAATAAAGGATATAAAGGATTTCATAGATAATTTAACATTAAAAAAATACAAGTAAAATAAAAAAGATCGTGTATTAAAATTATATAAAAATGTATAATAAATTTTGCTTTATAATTATCCATAATATAATTGTGTTGATTATAGCATTGTTATATAAACACTTATTTTCCTGTTTCTTTATATCATTTTTATTTATCAATTTCTAGTCCGTTCATTTTGTGGAACATCGTAAGCTACAATGTATTACATGAATGAAGATTTGGTTAGTAAAATAGCAGCGTGAGAATCGCAGTTACTAGGTCTAAGATATTTACATAAAATTCATTAATTTATTTAAAGTATGATACAGTATTTCTAATACCTTTTTTTTATCAGTCGAGGATTCTTTTATTAAAATTGCAAAAATCAATATTAGTTTGACATTTTCATGTAGAAGAATTCATAAATTAATTTACCATTGAATTGTGAAGAATTTTGTATTAACTAACTCGTAACTTTTGGAACGAAACAATGTCTAGACAATGTCGAAGTTCGTTATAATATTGCGCGCCAAAATTTTTCAGTCTCGTTTAGAATAACTTTTTTGAATGAAAATTAATTGAAAAGTAACTCTAGTTAAGTTCTGTAGGGAAGGAGAGATTGCTAAAGTGGTTTGGTAGGTATAGCGATACATTATATGAGTTTGCATATTTTGTTTTGATTTAAAAAGGCTGAGCCTGAGCCGCTTTCTATGCGTACCTGACAATAAATTCAATACTTTCATAAACGTTAAAATAACTATATTTAATACATTTGTAAGTTATCCTTTCGATATTAGTTCATTATTCTATTCAAATACATAGAAAACTTTAAGTCGTATGTTTAACATGTGCATATGTTTGTTCCTAAATACTAATTTTATATTTTATTTTATAAGCACTCACAGATTGTGAATTTATTAATACGTAATAATTTATAATTTAATGTTTTATTGAAGATGAAGTAATGTTCATCAAGTACTTTGACTATTGCAATTGACATTATATTATATTTTACAAGCGATAAAATTAGCAATACGTAATTATTAGAGAATAACATATTTGAATAATCTTGCCTTTTATGTGGCAGTAATTGATTAAATCGTGCTTTTCTTCGCACGGATATAAAATTTCGGCAAAAGCATTAAGCTAAAATTTTATCATTCCTACTTCCTATTTCGTTTATTGCACCAGTAATTGGCGCATCTAAAACAAGACACTAATATCCCGTGGGTATATAAAAAGGCCATCTAGTGATTTTTCTTGCCCTTCCCTTTGTGGCAAACACTAGGACATGTGGGTGTGCTTGTGAGTGGGCGCGAGACCATCGACGATGGAAAAATCGCCTCCTTCACTTTTCGCGGAGAAGTGGGGGAGAGTGCACTGCGACTTTCTCTCTCTCTCTCTCTCTCTCTCTCACACACACACACACACACTCTCCCCCATCACTATGTATCATGCCTTCTTTCTTAGATCACTTTATTAATCTATGACTTCCGCTAGCTGTATGTTTACTAGGTGACACACCCAGATGCATGAACTCTTGAAATGCGTATAATATCGTGATACCTATAAACAGTGATTTTACTATTTTAGCCGGAGACTGGAGGAAGTTTACGTCAGTCGGCAATTGTTTAATTTTACTTGAATATCTGATATTAAATGAAACATATAATTGCAGGTAGCGAATGTACGTTTAGAGCTAATTCGAGCAATTGTAAATAAACATTTGTTTGATCTAAGATTGTATATCAATTTAATACAAAATAAATGCTTTTACATAATAAATTTTCATTGGTTTCTTCGGGAAACGGAGTAATTTATGTTAATAAAATTTATAGTTTGTTAAATATAATAGATTAAAAATCTTGTTCTCGTTAAGCACTGATTCGCGTGTGTAATTTGACTTCAAAAAACTTGGTATGTTAAATTACCGGTGAAATTAGAAAGATTATGGAAATCGATGGAGGGGCAATTAATGAGTAAGAATCACTAAATTTCAATTCGCACACACACACACACACGCACGCACGCACGCACACACACCCAACTATTTAATGATGAAAAAATTTTTTTCTTCTATTTAACAGTTACAAATTTACTGAGGAATTATCAGTTCAGCATTTCTACAATACATTGTGAAAATCTATGGTAATTTTATGTTAAGTGTACAATTCCACGAGTTAATACCGTAAATGAAAATCAAATTTCATTACGAAGCTTGTCGGAACATGTTAAAAAAATATATATATATATATATATATATATATATATATATATGAGCATTGAATAGAATGTAGAAGTGACCGTAATGAACTAATTTTAATTTAAAATAAAATGCTCATTATGTTTGAAAATGATGTCAATCGTACTAGTGTTATTTAAATTAAAACAACTATAGGATTACAGCATTTAAACCATCAAAAGCAAACTATTTAAAAACTCCCAGCTAAAAGTAAGGTTTAATATAAAAGAATTGAATATTAAAATAATTCCAAACCGAAGAGTAGGAAGTCGAGAATATTATCAATTTCAAAGTCTCGTTACTCCATTCCAACGTCTATGCACGGGCGCAGTTAATACAAAAATCCAAGACTAGCCATAACATTATTATAAATATTATAAAAAGCCGCCACGAATCATATTCGAATGATCGCGATGATCAATGAATGAGACAACATCTAACGAAGGGAGGCGTCAAACCGTTTCGTGGCATTGAGCTTCAGGTGCGCGAGGAATCGTTTGCGCACGGCTCTTAATCTCGAGTACTTCCTTCCTAAATCATCGAAGCATCGCTAATTGCCGTACTTTCATTAGTTTATCTCTCGCAGTGCATTTCCGATTTCGCGCTCAGTTGGGCCCACGTGCTCGGTCCCACCTCCCCCTCACCCAAACGGGAACTGGCCGAACTGCGCAAAATGCAGATAAAGATCCGCTTAACAAAACTGACGGCGGGACGGGACGATGATGTACGATCGAGCATCGGGCACAGCGACATGACGCTATGTTGCATCTTTTTTCGAGGGAGCAAATCGATTGTTTTTGCTATTTTTGTTAGAGGCGTTCCGAGAATTGCTTTGATATGACGTAAATCGAGTGTCGTCCCATCCGGAAACGCATTTGGATGCGCGCCGATTGCTGCGCACAGGGAATATTAAAGGGTCCGCTACGATGCCGATTGACGGTGGTACTACCTAGGACGAATTGCGGGCGACGGGGTGAAGGGGGCTGCTTTGGGATAGGAATATATCGTTGTCAGATATTTGAATTGACGTGTGGTAGTTTCTGTTGCGTGGTTTTATTGCCGATAAGCCGAATTGCGCATGGCGAAATTATCGACGTAATACGGCTTTCAATATTCTGCATTGTTTATGAAACTTCTGCCGTATACGAAGGCATCTCGATATTAACGTATTTCGAAATTCAAGCGTATCGATATCGTGGAGCAGCACGATTTGTTTTTTTTTGTTTTTTTTTTCATATCAATCTAGAAAAATGGGCACCATCATTGCCAGACTTTAAGCTCAACTGTTAATTAGTAGCGTTTAAAATTTTGAATTACATTCGAATTTGTCGATTAAAAGTATTTTGTTCTTTCTCGCCCCGCCCTCCTCTCCCCTCCTCACATCCCCCCTTTCTAAGTCCCTTCCCCTCACTCTTTATGGAAATTAAAATTTTCAAATTTAATTTCAATTATAACACGTGATGTTATGATAATATTTTATAAAAATTTTAAAACTTTTAACTTTTAACATAATATATAATTATTAATCTACTGCATTGATGATGAATGTACTTTAGACGAATTAATTATCATATCAGTATGTTGAGGTGTTAGAATATTTTTAACGAGTGATTTATCAATAATCGAGTGAATTTTATTTTATATCATGCTTAACGCGTGTCTTACACGACATTACATTATTCTTTATAAAAGCATGTTTCCGTGTACCAAAGTCCTAAATTCCAGGATTCTCGTCTCATTAGCTCTCCCGGCACTCGTATTGTGCATTCGTATTTAAAAGGCTTGAAATAAGAGCTAAATATATAAAAGAACTTTTATTGCAAACTCGGCATTGAATTTATTAGCATTTATTTTGTACAATTCTTCCTACGCTATTCTTCAAATCATTTTAATTTGCATAGGTCGCTGGAGATATTCGAGCGGCATGGAATACCACAGTCGGAGATCCTGAAGGAGCAGAGACGCGCTGGAGGATCTGGACTAGGAGGTCCTTTGCGATACAAAAATAATATAATCTTTTGGCTCAGTTGTGATAAGGTAGGATTTTTTTGTTCTTTTCTTGTTCTGTGGTTGTTGCTGTTTTGTGGTCGTTGTTGGCTTTTTATAGAATAGAAATGCGTTGAAGCTGAGGAAGAAAATATTCTGCGTCAGACAGTGCAATTACACGTTTTGAAAACGAACGTTCAAGACGTTGGAATTCAAGTTCAAGTAATTCCGAGCATGAAAAGCATTACAATCCTATTGCAATCCATTGTAAAAGGCAAGATTTTTAATGATAGGGCTGATAAAAGATTGTTTTATGCGTGGGATTGTAGGCATTTTATGTTGGTTGGAGTATAAGCACATGATAATGGATCGTGAACAGTGAGACGAAATTTTTTTGTTCAAATGCTGTTTGTTATTAAAACGCTCACTTCGTTAGTTTGTGGTTACGCGTAATTTCATTAGGGTATTTTATGCCTGTATTATTAATGTTATTAATTGGTTATTAATTTTATTGTCCAATTAACGGATTACCGGCACTGTCAAGTAAGAACAGAAAAATAATATCGTGTGAGAGCCTGACACCTTTAATATTAAACAAGTTTTAATTAATATTTATTATTTACCGCGACATAGAGGCTTAAAAATAATTTTTTTTATTATGTGTAACTAGTTTTCAAAACAAATCGAGGTAAATTTTTCTCGAAATAGCATTCTCAAAGCCGAGAGGAGCACGATTACTTTGAAACTGCTGAGTAGATCTTTTTTAAAAATTTTACATATTTATTTAAGATAAAAATATCTGGTCTTTGATCGTCGAATTTTTTATTTGGATATAAATTGTCAATTTTATGAATGAAAAACGACGGATGCTTAATACAATGGAACTTTAAAATTTACGTAGCTGACATTTTGTTTTAATTTCTTAATTTGCAAATTTTATCAATTGAAGATTGGTTAAATATACATACTAATTAAATCATTTTCGTTTTTGAATTTCAATTTATTTCAGTACGACTATTGGTGATATTTTCAGCGAACTGACGTTTTTAGTCGGTGCTCCGATAACTCGAATATTCCTTAGTATTTTTAATCAAATAAACACGCATACCATAATTAAATGATATAATCTTTTTGATTTCTAAAGTTTCGTATAAATAGTCCACCATTTGCATCTCTAAGAGGGAAAAAAAAAGTTGCATATTATTTCAATTTTCTTGTTAATTTTCAAATATCTATAACCATTTAAGGAAGTAAGTAAAACTATATAACTTTCTTTGCATTATAGTTATATAGTTATATAAGTTAATTATTATTAATAAGCATTAGTGAAAAAATATGAGTTCTTTACAATAAGTTACTCTTGTTTTTAGTTCTCAAATTGCTGATTAGATAATAATTTGATATAAAGTAGTTGTATCGTGCGAATTTTTATCAATAGTTAATAAAGAAGAATTACGTAACAATTATGTTACAGTTATAACGAAAATTTCTTTCATATATTTCTATCATTATGTTATTAATAATCTATCGACAATTTTCTATTTTCTTTAATTGTCTGTTCTATTACAATGATGCTGTTCGGAAACGATTTTTAAAATAATATTAAAATTTTGGAAAGAAAACCTATGAATTTTTTTATTTTATTCGGTCATAAAGATGAAACTTTAAATACATGTAAATAATTTATAAGTTACTTTAAAATGTAGATCAAATTCAAAAAAAAAAGAGAGAGAGAAAAAAAGAAAAAAACCAACTAAATTATATATTTAGAAACACTGAATAAGAATTCTGCTTTTATTATCTGTCGGTGAAATATTGCCAAGTTTCGACAAATATCAATACGAAGTTCATTATTTTTCATACAAATGCCGAAAAAGTTTGCTATACATAATTATTGATAATAATTATGCATTAAACTAAAGTGTAAAAAAGTATAATCGACGATTGTTCAATTCTATTTTTATACTAATGTCACGTGTATTAATTATTTAAATTTGTATTTTTAAATAATTTACGCTTTCTTTTTATATGCCTTGGCTCTAATCGCGTATAATTTTAACGTTCGTAAAAGATAATGACAATGTATAAAAATGAACTCATTATCGATTACTTTACATAAACGTATATAAGTAAATTAGCAAAATAATTTTCAAAATAATTTATAAACTGAAATATAAAATTACCCTAAAAAAGTAAAGACTAAAAAAAAAAGAAAAAAGGAAATTCTATAGAATAAAACGAATATTGAATCAATTATATATTAAATTAATATTTAATGATAAAAATTTCTTGGTATTTGCACCAATATGCTTGAATTTTACCTTATAATAGATAAATTATTCACTTTAAGAAGTAACGACTTGTTAATTGAAATTCAGCTAAAATCCTACGAATTAGAGCCAACTCCTTTTTTTTTCTTTATTTCTATCTAATTCTTCAAGCGAATATACAATTTTCACATAAATACGTAAATTGAATTTGTCAATTAGTATTATAGACTATTCAATACATTATCAATCAATACATGTGTAATACTTAAATAAGTGATATTGGCCTGTTGATTTGCCAACTCCGTTTACAAAATCAATTAATCGTCGTATATAGAAATTTATAATTACTGAACAAGTAGACAGGCAGGGAAACTAATTGCATCATAATAACAACGCCCGATAAACGAAAGCTAATTTCAAGAGAAAATAAAAAATGTGCGCTGTAAAAATTGCTTAAACAAGTAGAAGAAACTAGTAATAATAACAATATACCTGTCTGCGGAAAATCAACGTTGAGCAAACACTTGAAAACATTGTTTCCTCTCGTAGCTCATTAAACTATATGTATTATTTCCTAAAAAGAATAACAAATTAGTCGTTTTTTCGGCACGGGAATGTTATTCACGGAGACGGTGAAAAGAATTTGATCCTTGGCGAATTATTGAGGCGACGCGTCGCCGGAAAAGTGTAAGCAGCCGTAAATGGCCTTGAATGTTAGTACAAGCCATTGAAATCTGGCTCAATTAAAAAGATATAAACCTCAAAGTCAAACGCATTATTAGCAACACGTGGAAAGGCTTGCTTGCGTTCAAGCCGAGGGAGGGGAGACTTCCAGTCACTCGGACAGTCGTGGACAATTGGATGGAGCTCCCCGGGTCCGTAACACGCGCTCGTTCAAAAAGGAGAAAACTGCGTGGAGCGCATGCAACCCGCGCACCTGGAATTTGAATTTTTCAGCGGTGCCCACTGGCTGCCGAGCAGCGCAGCTCGGTCAAGAGTGAGAGGCGGCGATCCGATTTACTTTTCCCGTTATTACCGGGACCTATTGGCGAATGCGCGCCCGCGAATATACGCGCAGCCGTCTGCGCATACGTGTGCCCGTATCGATTGCGCGTCGTCGGCTCGTTATTCATGGCGTTATTTGAAAAGCGCATCGCGTCGACGATCGGATGGCTTGGCTTACCTCGGCCTTAAGCTCCTCGCGATTTTTCAACGGACATATCTCTCACTGACGTTTCCCGGTGACGGGAAATGCCTCCGTTTGGGAATTGTTAGGTTCCTTTTTTTGTCTTCTTTGGATTTTTTTCTTTTCTTTTTTCTTTCTTTTTTTTAATGTTCACCGACAGTCGTACACCGATGGCTGGTCCTGTGAGTGGAAACGCTCGACGCGTTGTGTTCGATTGTTGAAGATTTTATAGAATTCGAGGATTAAATTTGGAGATTAATTGTTTGTACGATTTACGAGCATCTAGATATTGTATGTGAAATTCTTTTCATCTGCTTTGCATGAGGACGCGGTAAGATGAGGTTGGCTTGGAAATTTTCAAAATGTACGTTAAACATTTTAAAATTTATAATGCCGATAAAAATCCTAACAACAAAACACACGGTAATTTATAAGCAGCGGCGCTACTTTCTTAAAAGCAAAAGCAGACTATTAACCTTACACTCTTGATACTTTATATTTATATATAATTTACGTATAATAAAATTATTCGAATTTAAAGTAAAAATTCATTTTGTAGTTGCGGCGACAGGTTTCTCTGTATAATTGTTTGAAAATCTACGGATTCAGGAATTCAGTGACAGCGAGAAATACATTGCTTGTGACTAGAAGCTCAATGTTACGTTAATTATATAATAATCTGGCTAAAAATAGTATATGATAATTCGCATAAAAGTGGTTCGTTATATCTTACTTTATTATTGTATATTTCAACACTGCGATTGCTTAACATTTCTTTTTTCTTTTTTTTTTGTTCTTTTTTCTTTTTCTTTTTGTTTTTTTTTTTATGTAACTACACACAAGAAATACCGAGGAAATAAAATATTATTTCGTTTATTCGTATCGATATTGCGCTTTGTTGATCTTATTTATTTAAACGGAACGTTCCTTTTCCATTTTCTTTTTCTATTTTTATTTTATTTTCATTTTATTACTTTTTTCTTCTATAATTGTATTTGACGAGCAATCTTTGTACGTGAGATTTATTTATAATGTAATTAAATTTTTTTGCATTAATCTGTATTTTCATAAACTATTGATGTAACTAACTTAAGATTAATTCGATTTAAAGTTCATTTTCTCGGCATTTTGCTATCGACATATATATATATATATAAATATATATTTTTTTTTATCAACTTATTTAAGAGTATAAGGTTACATGTCATTGACATTTATCAATAGTCGAAGTTAAGAATATTTCTTTCATTTAAAAGATATAAGTTTATTTAGCTTGAGTTTCCGTTACATAAAAATTTGTTGTCTTCTTAAATTCGGTTTGTCACCTTTGTAGATTCAATTCTATATCTTCATTACGTCAGTGTTTAAACTTAGAAATAAGTGAGACAGAAATTCAAAAATTGACAGAATTACAATTGGCTGTATATCCTTACATAAGTGTTGACTTCTGTCATTTAATATATAATAATTTCATGTTCTATTTAAATGTAATTGATTGTTATTAATCTCTCTCTCTCTCTTTCTTTATTTATTTATATATATATATATATATATGAACAAGTATATTAAAATATTTTGCATCTTATTTTATTTATCGCTTGTTTTAAATTATCCTTTTAAGTTTTAGAAATAGCTAGTGAATAAATTAATACACAATGAAAGAATTCAATTATGAAATAATCACAAGCAGTATTAATTGCATTAATGTTAGAGTTGGCCATTCATATTTGA